CTTATATATTTATATATAGATTGATATGTTTGAGACTTTTTTTTGAAGTGGTGGTCATTCAGGGTGAAAAATTCATAAATAATGGGACAATGAAATATAGTAGAGAAACCAAACAAGTACATATGATCTTGTGTCTAGATATGTGAAATTATTTTGAAATATAAGGATAGTTAAGAATATGAGTTATGTTGAAAAGAAGGAATTGTGGTATTTTATAAGAAGAGGTTTTCTGTTGGAAAAAATAGTGTAGTTGTTGAGTGACAATGGTGTAATTCACACTGTAAATATTGTTAAGGGAAAGGGTCAAGGTGCAATTGTTTGTGACTGATAAAGTTATTTTCTACTTAAGTTTTGTAAATAAAATCAACTCTTTCGTAATTTTATCTTGTTTAATTTTCAAATTTATCTTATTTTTATATTGTTTTATGTTTTAGTTATTTTGTGCTTATTTTGAGTTGTAAATTTTATTTTAAACGTGTGAAATAAATAAATAAAAGATAATTATAGTAAAAAAGCAAGATAAACCTGAAGAAAGTAGAGCAAAAGATAAATTTTAAGACAAATATCCGCAACTATTCTTTCGTAACAGCAGCAAACAGTTCAACACCTATTCTTTCATGATAACAGCAAACAGTTCACTTTATTCATGGCTTCCAATAAAGCACGGGAAAATATTACATTTCCTACATGGCTATATCTCAAATCACTCACTACCTCCCTACCTGAATCCACCATTAAAAGTTTGAAACGGACTATAATAGGTGAAAGAAAAACACAGTAAATGAGCTCAACATAAGCATTACTTCAAGATGAAACTGCAGTCTGTGTCTGTGTTAACTAGCTGCAAGGTTTTAAATCGCAGCTGCGTCACAATTTCATCAAATGATGTTTAGGCAAATATGAACGATGTGATCATGTTGCAGACTGTTTTTTAAAACCTTACGAAGCTGAATAACCAGTGTGCAGGTATGTGAATTGAACCTGGAAGAAAGGCTTTGCCTTCCCTAAGCCTTCATGAATTGCCTTTTGACACTCTCGCTTTAGAAGGAGAGTAGCATAATACTCAATAACCAAACTTCTTTTTCATCTTCCTCTTCACTTTCTTCTTTCTCCATTACCAGCAGTTGGAATGAATCACATTCTTGCAAACATTCAAGCATATATAAACACTTCAAAGGCACAGACACGTGGAAGCATTACTTTCAATTCCAACTTATAAGCAAGGAACAGAGAAAACCGACAAAAAAAAACAGATAAGCATAGGCATTAAAAAAAAGAATCAAATCACATTTCCATCCATCAAAATATATTCTATTAAACACACTCAAGCATATTATTGTTCTTCTGCTTTAAACAAATTCTCTCACAAATTCCGTTGAGGCTGCCCATTTCAAAGGACAGGATAGTTAAAGATTAACGATGAAAAAGAGGGTTGAAAAAGAGGTAAGAAAAAAAGTGAAAAAATGGTTATAATAATAAAAGGTGGTAGGTTAAAGTGGTGATAGAGACAAAAGAGGCAAGTGTAAAGAGAGAATAGGGTTGTGGATGAGCACTTGCATTTAAGAAATGTAGCAGAGTGGGTTGGCACCATTGAATGGGGGTGCGTGCATGAGAAGATAAGTGCTAATAAAATAGCCATTAATGGTTCAGTGGGCTTACCAAATTCGGCCATGAGTGTACTATAACTAAAGAAAAACCAATACTCTACTTTTTCTTATTCTTCTTTCTCATTATGTAACCTCAATTTAGCCTATGCCATCTTTCCGTACCAAGAGGAATACCGATTATTCAAACCCCTCCTTATAAAATAAATCACCTTATTAGGTCCAGGTAGCTATGAAGAACCCATCCAATTCTTATTTATTTTTTAGCTTTATTTTACTGGATTTCTGAATTTTAAATGTAATTTAATTAATTAAATTTAGGCTGAATATAGATTAGAGATGTTTTACCTTTTACAAAATTATAATTTGATTTGATTCAAGTTTTTTTTTTCATATTCAAAGAGAGTCAAACCACATTTCAAAGACATCTACTCAAAACAATTTTTTATTAGTTTCTTTTAGCATTATTTAAATAATCTTGAGTTGTTAGAACCAGTAAAATCAAAAGTTAGAAACTAGTAAAATTCACGCACATATTTGTTTAGTGGAATTCACGTGTCAAGAGGAGAGCTCGACACTCAGATGACGAACGACAGGTGTCATGCGAAGAGGATCCGAAGATCAGTTAGTGGAAAGCAGGTGTCAACAGAAGATGGGACGTTCGTTTTTGAGTGGGAAGCAAAACTTGAATTTTCAGAAAAACACTCCACTCTCTGCATGCACTCTCTTTCCAGATTTCTGAAGAATCCCATTTTCTCCTCCTTCTCTCTACCTCCTCTTCATCTTCTCTCTTAGAAAACACTCACTTTCTCTCCTCCGATCAATATTCCGGCACCGTAGAAGCACTTTCGGCGTCCAGAGCTTCCAGATAAACCGTTCGGTTTGTGTGAAGCTGGGCTGGTAAGTCTTTCTCTTCGCTTTGTCGTTCGTTTTCCTCAACATGCAAACTCAGTTCTGGGTTCGTATGTTGATAACCATTCTTAAAATGAGTAGTTCTGATAGTGTCGGGTTGTCACTTGGTGTAGTTGAATTTGTTGAGCGTTGATGGTAGAAGAACCTATAGTGGTCAAATTGTATTTCTGCATCTGGGAACGTTCGGTCACGCTCAGAGGTAAGGGAAGCTTATTTAATTTAATTTGTATGCTGTTGAAATGTTTTAACGTTCGTTTATTTAACGAGATGAAAGGAAATATGGCTGAGTTAGGTTGTAATGTGTGAAATATATGAAACTTATATGATATGGATTGTATGAAGTATGAAAGTTGATTATGATGTGAATTTTATAAAGTTAAGAAGTTATGAAGTTATAAGTTAAGGAAAAAAAATGAGTTTGAATGTAAATCGATTTTGTATATGAGATTTCACTATGATAAAGTACGTTCGTTACTGAACGGTCATTGACCGTTCGGTTTTCCTAGTAAACCTAGTGGAAACGAGATTCTTTCATTTGGAGAGAATCCTAGTGTAGGACGAGTGCCCTCGTGTGGTAATATTATGCTTGAGCGTTCGGTTGAGCATAGTTGTGCCTGAGTCTACTGTGATAAACTCAAAAATATACATTTATGTAATTGTATATTATTGTTGTTCGTAAACACCACTTCAATAGTATTTTAATATATTTATCAAACCTTTTATTATAAGTTTATTAGTGCTCGGTCTTATACCAAGCGCTTGTACTCATTTCTTGTATAATCAATCTTGGTAAAATAGCGTTCGTCCAACTTCAGTAATATTTTACTTTACCATGTTCGGTCATTTACTGGCATTGGATTTCTGTATGTGAACTATTCTAAATCTAGTTCCTTAACATCTTGACTAGTCTTCCTTCATTGGATCCGGCCTAGGGCCTACATACTTGATTTATTCCTTGAGTATTGGTTTGAACTCAAGAGAGTCAGTTCATTCAACTGACTCACGTGGTAAATAACGTTCGTCACATATTGTACCATTGTACTCGGTTTATTCTTAAATCTAAAGGTAACTCTCTCGGTCTTATTCTATTCTGGAACTGGAGACCTATATGTCTCGTCTCAAGTGTTCGTCCTCGTTCTGAAGAGGGCTGAACGTTAGGTATCTTATGTTCTTAGAACTGATGATGAAAATAACACTAAAGAGAAAAATTATAAAGGAGGAAGAGTATTTGAGAGAAATTAAAAGTTGTGGATTTTGGACGAGCGTTCCAGGGAGGAACGACTCTTGAATGAATATTGGAAATTGTATAGTATGAATGTGGTGAAGCTTAGCTGGCGGTTCATCCTGATGTTCCGTGAATACTCGTCCTTACGTAGAGGAGGGTAGATCATGTGTGGGAACGACAAGAGGTCCTAGTCCTTAGGGGTACTTTGGAAGGAACGGAATAACCTCGGGTGGCAACTGATGAGAATTCCAGTTAGTACATCACTCGGGTGCACGAACGTCGTAGCTACACAGAATTCATACAGTCCGAACAGTCAGTCTAGTAGTAGGCCTTGTTTGAATCGTATGTTGAAATGCACTTGATGTGTTTGAATATGATAAATGTATGTTATTACTTGAATTAAATTACATAAGCTTACCCTGCATTTTCCTGTATTGTCTGGTTTTGTACGTCCGTCCTTGTCATTGCAATGATCATCCGTGTGGATGTGAGCAGAAGGAGTCAAGCTGCTGGAAAAGGCGCTGGAAGAAGAAAATTTGGAAGAAATCGAAGTCAAAACCGAAGAGTAGGACGTTCGGTCAATAGTCTAGTTATAGTAAGGTGGACGTCCGCTCACCTTCCCTTTTGTATAAGTATGAACGATCGGTGTCGATATTTTGTAAACCGGACGGATAGTTTTGGGTAGTGAGGTACGACTTGAATTTGTAACTCTTTCTGTAAGGTCGTTCGGCCATGAGCGTACGCTCGACTTTAGTGTAAGACTGATTTTGGATTATTATTAATGTAATTATTCTATCATATGGTTTATTGCTATATTTTTGGGATGTTACATGAGTCATCCCATTAAAATAAGTTCTGTTCATCATATAATTAATCCACTGTTTATTTTTTAAAAATTATATTAAAATTGTAGATACTCATATTGTCAGAAGATAAAAGATGGGAAAAGGTTTATAAATACAATTAATTAAAAGATGGAAAAGAAAGTAATTAGAATCATCCATACTCTCCATTAGTAACCTATGAAGTAGGAAGCTCATGCAGAGAATTATAATTTTACAACATTATACAATATAATTTATTTAATATAATAGGATAAATTATTTCATGGTAAGCGTAATATCAAAGTGGACGTGCCGGAGTGGTTATCGGGCATGACTAGAAATCATGTGGGCTCTGCCCGCGCAGGTTCGAATCCTGCCGTTCACGATTTTAGGTTTTTTTAGTTAACTCCAACATTCAAATTACTTGTATTGTGTTTTGGTTCTTTCTATTTTGCTTGCTCCACTGTGGGCAACATATGAATCTCCAATGCGTCAAAACACTCTGCAACTACTAAGTCAATGCAAATCCATTTCCCAACTGTGCCAAATCCACGGCCACATCGTCACCACCGGTGTGTTACCTCCCCACACATCCCCCATCTTCAACAACATCCTCTTCACCCTCACCACCCTACTCTCCGCCCCCAACACCGCCACAACCCAGTATTCCAACTCCATAATAACCTACTATGCACTCTCCCTCTTCCATTCCCTCCCAAACCCCACCACATTCTCCTTCAACACCCTCATCAGAATCCATACCCTCCTCCTCTCCCCTCTCCCTGCCCTCCGCCTCTTCTCCACCCTCCGCCGCCTCTCCCTTCCCCCTGACTTTCACACCTTCCCTTTTGTCCTCAAAGCCTGCTCTCAACTCTCTTCCATCTCCCTCGCCCAATCCCTTCACTCTCAACTCCTCAAGTTCGGCCTTTTACCCCATTTGTACGCCTTCAACTCTCTCATACGTGTTTACTCCATCCTCGATAGAGTCAACGATGCCTACAAGCTCTTCTACGAATGTCCCCACAGAGACGTTGTCTCCAACAACGCCTTGATTAACGGACTCGTAAAAACCCGCCAGATTTCCCGCGCGCGGCAACTGTTCGACGAAATGCCCGTGCGAGATGAAGTATCCTGGGGGACCATGATCGCGGGGTATACTCACTCGAAACTTTGGAACCAAGCCATTGAACTCTTTACTGACATGATGGCTTTGGAGGTTAAGCCGGATAATATAGCGCTGGTGTCGGTTCTCTCCGCTTGTGCTCGGTTGGGGGAGTTGAAACAAGGTAGCATCGTTCATGATTACATTAAACGTAATAGGATACGAGTTGATTCGTATTTGGCAACGGGGTTGGTCGACTTGTATGCGAAATGTGGGTGTGTTGAGACTGCGAGGGATGTGTTTGAGTCTTGCGAGGAGAAGGAAGTATTCACGTGGAATGCCATGCTTGTTGGGTTTGCGATTCACGGAGAAGGATCGATGGTGTTGGAGTATTTTTCTAGAATGGTTGCGGAGGGAGTGAAGCCTGATGGGGTGAGCTTGTTGGGGGTGTTGGTGGGGTGTAGCCATGGGGGTCTAGTTCGTGAAGCGCGAAAGGTTTTTCAGGAGATGGAAACTGTGTATGGGGTTGCTCGGGAGGAGAAGCATTATGGATGCATGGCTGATATGTTTGCCAGGGCTGGGTTGATTGAGGAAGCGGTGGAGATGATAAGAGGGATGCCAAGTGGGGGTGATGTGTTTGCGTGGGGAGGGTTGCTTGGAGGGTGTAGGATTCATGGGAATGTTGAGGTTGCAATGAAAGCAGCGAAGCAAGTAATGGAGATTAAGCCTGAAGATGGTGGGGTGTATTCTGTTTTGGCTAATATTTATGCTAACAGAGGACAATGGGATGATTTAGTCAAGGTAAGGAGATCATTGAGTGCCAACAAAAGGGCCAAGAAGATTACTGGTCGTAGTTTGATCAGACTGAATGACGATACCTAGGCTAAGATTCGGATGATAGATTATGGGGGGAGGGATGTGTATAGATTATTTGCATGTTACGTTAGGATCTTTATTATTGTTTTTGTTTGTAACTAAATATTATTCTTAGTTTTTTGGTGTCCTCCAGCCAGCTCAAGAGCTTTGTGAGGCCTTCTTTTGGTTCGTGGCTATGCATCACAGGAAATACGTCGCCTATTACATTTTTGAGTAAAGTCGTTCTTTTTGTTCTTGAAATAAGAGCGAGAAAATCCCAACTAAAGAACTTTCAAGAATACATAATGAAGCACTATCAACATCAGTCGTATTTAAATCTCTGCCCTAAAACAATATCATTTCGTGACTTTGCAATCGATATCAGTCGTATTTTGAAAAAAAAACACACAAAATCCATTCTTGTGCGGTCCATATAAAAAATTACAAAAAGGTTGAAGTTGAAAAAGTGTCCTAAGCACAGGAAGGTTCAGGCAAAGAATTTACATGACTATATTAGATTTATTTTGAAATTTATTTCCATGATTCTTCACCATACATTTTGTGTCACATTATAAATTCATTAAACTTCTTTTTCTGAAATGAAATCTATACTTATCCTGAAGGAATTCAGAAATCCAATGCAATATCTTATTACGTTATGTTTTAGGCAGTGAGAAGTATGATTCGAGTCCTTACTATAAACTATAAAAAAAAGCGTGAGGCTTCCGGAGCCTTCTAAGGTTGACGTGTCAAAAGCATTAAGTGACATGTGTCCTGTGCATTCCACATCATGCAACGTGGCTCCAGAACTTTCTTTCTCTGCCTAGACTCACTTCGTCAATCATATCCACCAAACTATATATAAGCGCGCCACTAGAATCAGCGACGACAGCATACAAACAACGAACACAAACTGATCTCAGTTTTCGCAGCTGCAAGAAACAACGACAACAAGTGAATCGGAATCATGGTAGGATTTTGTTGTTTCTGCAAGTAATTATATATGTGTACGATGCATTTATGTTAATATGTAGCAGTGTTATTGACAATGAAGTTGTGATGTGGTGCAGAGGGGAAATTGGTTAGCGGTGTTGAAAAGCGGCGTCGGAGGTAAGGCAGCGTACGCAACCGCAACAGCACCGAAGATGAAAGCGTACGCAGCTTCGGCTGATTACGGGCGTCTCAACCAGCAAAAGAGGAACTCAACGAAAAAGGACTTTGTGGCGGTGTACGTGGCGATTGGGATGATGACGACGGCGATGGGGCTGGGTCTCCACACTGCGTGGCAGCAACTGAGGAATTCCCCAACGGTGCGCGTGAAGAAGCAGAGAAGAGAGACTCTCCCCGAAGTGGTGGATCCCTACCACGTGGCGGAGGAGGCTGACAAGTTCATCAAGCACTCCTTCTTCCGGAAAGTTGCGCACGTGCAAGACCGCAGCTACCCCGACCACCACCACGTCGCTAACCCCGTTAGCAAAGATGCCTATGCCCACACACCCCGTCTCGAAACTCTGAAATCCGTCGGCGTTGATCCTTCCCACGTCTGAGTATTCTAAATCTAACAAACCTTCACTTCCATTGTAAATACAGCTCAACCACCTCTCTGTAACTCTATGTAGGCTTTTGCTACTTTGCTTCTTCAACTTAAAAGAAGACTGCAAGCTTCAATAACTATTTATTTATATAACAGCACGACTAAAATTAATAGAATGAAATGAACATAAAGATAAAAACAAAAGCGATTTCACTCCTTTCGTCATGATAGTATTTTAATTTTTCATATATTACTTATTTTAAATGTAATAAAATTTAAATACTTTTTAGTTAAATTACATTCATGGATTTCAAAATGTAAAAATCTCTAATTTATATCAAAAAATAATTAATTTAAGTACTTGTCAAGATAACGAAACTTATTCCTATTATGTATGAATGAAAATATATCCAAACTTTTGTTGTGTTTTAATTATACATAATAATCTTTAAAAGGAATTAAAATTTCCATACGATAATATTTATATTTTCTTACACATTTTTATGTTTATATTTTAATATTAAATTTTGTATGTTTTCATTTTTTTGTCAATGTTCTTTTTTAGGTATTGTCTGAATTACTTTCTAATTTTTATCACAATTAATTTAAGTGTCGAAGAGTTGAATTCTTTCTAATTTTGACGAACAGTTAACTTGAGTACAAAATGTCTAAAAGTATATCCACATTTTTTGTCTTCTAATTATACACAATAAATTTAAAATTTTGGGAAATATAAAAGGAATTAAAATTTCTACTCTATATTTTGTATTTTCTTACACATTTTTTTTGTTTATATTTAACGATTAAATTAAAAATTAGAGTTAGTTATTTTTTAAAACTTTAGTCCAATTTACGTGAATTTAATTTTTCTGATTTAATTAAGTATATTTTGAATTTTTATATTGCATTTTGATTAATGTTTATATTGAGTTTGAATATAGAAATGAATATTATTTGTTTTTTTTAATTAAATATTAAATATGTTTTAAATGATAATATTGAGTTTGATAATGAATTAAATTAGATATTAAATATAAGACCATAATTGATATTATGTATTAACTTCTATTTCAATGTCCATCTCATATTTATCCGTCCTCATATGTACTCTTATTTAGTTCTCATATTTATTATATTTATTGTTATTCAATGAACGTTATTACATATTTTATTTAAGTAAGCAAGTTGATAAACTACATTTTAATGACTTAGATATATATATTTACATATTCCTATTCCTTTCGCTTAAGTCATCATTCCTCCGGACAAACACAACTCCAAATGTCATTTTTTTTTAATACAAATTTTCACATTTCCATTCAGAATAATTAATTTATAAAGTAAGATAACTAAACTCTATTTATAGTATCATAAATAAAACTTTCAAAAATGTAAGAATTATATTACACGGTTTCCTAGTGGACCAGTTGTGATGAAATAAGAACACGTGTCAATGTGCTATTGGGTAATGTCACGTGGCCAGTAAAACCATTGGTTGAAACAGCACAGGCAAAGTGTGAGAGAGATCTATATATACGGCAATAGACTTCTAAGAGCACTGAGATTTAAACACTTTCTAGAGATCGAAAATTTCTCTTCGGTGTCAGGGTTAGGGTTTGACAGTTATAGTGGAACATGGGAGAACGGAAGCGAGTCCCTCTCGGGATCTTTGCGGTGCTCCTTTTGATTTCTGCCTCTTCTTTTCAGCTTCTCCTCGCTTCTGACGATGCAGATGATGCGGTAATTCTTCTTCTTCATCTCCTTTTCGTTTCTTTCAAATCTTGTTTTCTGTTGATGATTGGATCTCCATTTTCACCAGATTCTCACTAATCAACTGTCACTTGTTCATTTGTTTTAGATCTTCTACGAGTCATTCGACGAGGATTTTGAAGACCGGTGGATCACTAGTCAGAAAGACGAATACAGTGGTAATTAACACGAACTCGGTTCATTGTATGTGATTTCAAATTATTCAATTGCTTCTCTGGTGATGGTTGTCGAATGTACCCTGTTTTGTAAAGTTGTTCTTTCCCATATTTGTTTAATGTTGTTAGTTTCAATTTCTTATAACTCTACTCACTCGCGATAAAAATGTATGTGACTCACGACGAACCTTCAATCTAAAGCTTATTTACTGCTGTTAGCTTCAGTCGAATATTTGGTTTATGTGTTAGCTTCAATGTCACACAAATATGTCCGAGATCTAAATTTATTGACATGATTGGACGAAATTCGATGACTATCTTTCTACACTTTTGATTATAGACCAGCAAAAACAAAGTCTGTAAAACATAGTGGCAGGAGGGGTCTGCTAAAGGAGTGCTAAATCTGTAGTGGTTAAGGTGTTAAATTCTTTCAATTATTAGTAACGAATTTTTTTCATTTTTGTATAATATATTTTTTTTATTCTATTGAACATATATTCACTGTAATTAAGCAGTGTACCTTAAGAGGTACTAGTGGTGTTAATCGCTTATTTTAGTGATTGACTATGTATGTTAGATAATAGTTTATTTTTTTAACATATTAAAATCTCCTTTTATCTCACAACATAATTTACTCTACAGAAAGTGTACCAGTGTATATATAGTTATTAAAAATTAGTTTTTATATTAAATTTTCTCTTTGTTTATTTTTGCCATCGTTCTCTTTAACCAAACACAATAAGTTAATCTATTCTCAGCTATTTCCCTTCTTTCTTACCTGCCCACTTTCTCTCCCTCTAAATCTTATTATCCCTTTACCAAACAAGGTATAATTTAAGGGTCATTAATGTGTGTATGTATTTATAAGGGAGTCAATGTATCAAGTGAAAGGGACATTTATTTGTGAGAGTATGAGGAACATTGATCATAGAACCACAAAATGCTTATATTATGCGCTACTTATATCCACTTTACCTTTGATAAAGGTGACCTGATCTTTGTGTTCTAATGTTATAATTTGTTCTGAGATAAGATTTAATGATCAAAATTGTGTGCAATGATAAAAATTATAATTGCTAGAGTATTCGATGTAAAACGTATCGTTAGACATATTGTATCTCTTTTCCAGTATATTTAATACCCAATTATTTTAAATATCGTATTGCTTATTTTGAAGTTTAGTTGTTAGCTGTAGTCTTATTTATTTATGTCAAATTAAAGTTTGTGCATATTAGTAATGTAGTTTGTAACATCTGCAGAAGATTACATATTTTAGTGTTTACTTGTGTAGTGAAAACATGGAGGTTTGAGTCATACACCTATGAATGTTATCCCACTCCACTTGTAACTTTACTTCATTGATGTTATATTGCTAAATCTAATATACTTACTATCTGATGTATGGTCTGGGTTCTAGGTGTCTGGAAACATGCCAAGAGTGAGGGACACGATGATTATGGCCTTCTTGTCAGTGAGAAAGCGAGGAAATACGCCATAGTGAAGGAACTTGAAGAAGCAGTGGGTCTCAAGGACGGAACTGTTGTTCTCCAGTTTGAAACTCGGCTTCAGAATGGCCTTGAATGCGGTGGAGCTTATCTAAAATATCTGCGACCACAGGATGCTGGATGGAAACCTAAGGAATTTGACAACGAATCTCCGTATTCTATCATGTTTGGTCCTGATAAGTGTGGGGCCACAAACAAAGTACACTTCATTTTCAAACACAAGAATCCCAAGAGTGGGGAGTATGTTGAGCACCATCTTAAGCATCCCCCTTCT